TTCAGGGCCGCCCCCTCTCGAAAGAGCTGCGCGCTCCCCTGTTTATTGGGGAATGAGGCAGGAGTTACAGGTTCGCCCTCGGGGTCCCCGCGGTTCCAGCCCCGGGACCTGGAGGGTCGTGGTGGAAACTCCTACCCAGCGACCGGGAAGGGGCTCAGCCATAGGCTCCGCCAAAAAATTCCATGAGTCCCACCTGGCCGGGTGTCGGGGGAAGTTCTGCAAAGATTCCCGCTGGCGCCCACGGAGACCAAGGTTCATTGACACGGACTTGTCACCAGCACGCTGGTTCACTCCCCGCCTGGTCTCGGGCGTCACGGGAAGGCGGGCAGGTGGGGCCCTGCCGTCTCCCCGCCTGTTGTGCGTCCCTGTGGGGCTGCCTCTAGGATGTGCAGCCTCGGTCAGCCCCGCCCTGCCCCCCGGCTGAGCAGTGGCGTCGCTGTCAGCGCGGGGCCAGGGTTCTAACTCTGCGACTTCACTTCCTGTTCCTCGGGCCTGTTTGCATTTGAAGGAAGAGTCGCCTCCACTTCATCTTCCTCTTAACCACCTGCTGTGCGGCATGAGACGGGCTTCTGTGCCTTTGTGGTTTGTAACGGGCCATTTAAACACTACGACATGGTTACAAAAAGCTTTTGAAACAGGTCTTCGGATTGAACTCACACACTCGCTTTGTGTAGCAAAACCGAAGGCCCTTTTCCGGCCAAATGTTCCTGGAGAAAAGGAAGTGACGACTGGCCAACGTAAACCTCCCTGCAGTGCCCGCTAGAACCGTGGGCGGGACAGTATTCGGTGCCCGGCCGCGTGTTTTGGACAGAGGGTGGGGCCTCGGAGTCTCCCCGGGCCTCTCTTCCCTCCCCTACCCCCCACCCCACCGGGGCTTTTGGCTTGGAGTGGAACTGCCTGGGGCCTAGGCGGCCCTGCCCATCGTTAATCTTCCTTAAATGTATTAATGCCTCGCGTTGGGTCTGAACAGAGGAATGCGTTGCTGGTTTCCCGGTGTTTTGTTTCACAAGGGGATGCCGAGCTCTACGGTGGGTCTTGGAAAACCTGCGTCTTTCTCTTTCTCAACATTTAACTTAAAGATAAAAGGGCCTTTCAAAGTGAGAGGCAGCAAACATTTACTTGAGACCAATCAGGCAGGAGCCCAGATCGTGGCCCGATAAGGAGACGGAGGAATTGAGGGGCCAAGGGAAGGGGAGCAGTTACACCCACCGCAGGGAGGCGTTGCTGCCGCTACAGAAAAGTTAACACAGTGACGCTAGGTCTAAATACGTTTCTTTTCAGTCTGTCACCCATCAGCTCAGTACTTAACAATGTTTGCTTTCTTTTCCTCTCAGTTCTTTGGGATGCAATGTTGCCCTAAGTTAGGTCTAAATGTAATTTTGCCGTTTTAACCCTAAAAGTTTTGAGGTATGTACCTCCAGCTCCATTTTGGCTGTTTTTGGGTGTTTTTTGAGGGCACATTTGTTCAGCTGGGGCCAGTGAAAGCACAGCTGCGGATCTGAAACTATTACAGGAAAGAAATGAGCCCCTGGGGCTGCCTTTAGCTCCCTGGAAAGTCAGGGGACGCGGCCAGGAAGATAGATTCGGGGTTCGCCTGGATGAGCCCTGCTGCCCATAGCTCCCCTGCTGCACGTCTGTGGGACCCTCCGTCTTATTTTAAAGCAGGTCCCCTTCTATTTGTTCACAAACTACACCACACATTTGGGGCAGCCTTTACTCTCGATAAAATA